ACAGTACCGGTCGATTTGTCAGGAATTTGGCTGAGTCAAATATCACTTTCCTGTTTTTCTTGGTCTCCGCGACATGTAACATTTATATGTTCTACAGTGTTCATCACATTCAGCGAACTATGAAGCTCCAATTTTAATGCGCCTATCTACTGATCTCATTTTCTAGGGTGATCAATTGCATTCCAATAATTTTTGGATGAACGATCTCTGCAGATCCACGTACAATATGGGTGTTGATACTCTGTTAGTTTGCAGCTTTAACTGTCTTCGCACTCCCAGGTATGTAATGCTTGCTGATCACTCAGTCGCAACAAAATAAGGTGAACCAGTTAAAAGAAGTAGTAAGAATAACAACAACAACAGGAACACCTCTCAATTTTTTGACTCCTCCCTCGATTGGCTACCGCCTTACCAACAAAGTGAATGTTCTTACCACATACTTCAATATTATGAGCACTGGACCGAGAAGGCCGATCCATAATCACACAACCCCATCGTTCATTCCCTTTAACCGAAGCTTCGGAATTTGGGTTGATGAATCAATGATGGCCCCAAAGACACTTTAGACCTAGGCCGTTTGAAACCTTTTTGGTGTTTGATTTCCCGTTCTGTAGGATATCTCAACAAGCCTACTACTTTCGTTTACCCGGTAGGTTATGACTGAGAGTGCTTTGTGCCGTCATCCTCGCTCATTAATGCTTATCAGATGAACAGTAGCCCTAAATAGCTTGAATCTTTTCAAGTTATTTAGCGTATCCCACGAGCAATTGCGTTTTTAGATAAAGTACGGATAGGCACTGTTGTCACTCAGACCAGAGCAGTTGCCAGTCGACAAATTAAAGCTCAGCATGTACAAAACGCTCTTTTGTATTCATCGGTGTCCAGCGGCTCCTTCGTCGGTCATAGATCAGCTAAGGCGGTTATGGATTCAATGCTCTGAATAAAGGTCCTTTTCTTTAAACTTTCACTAGTAGGGCAACACGGTTGTCAGCAATACCCTCGCTCTATTCCTTATCAATTCTGTCCGTGGCTCTTACGTATTACCTTAGTTAAATTTTTTGATTCATTGTAAATACCAGTTTCCATTGTTTCCCTTCCCGCCTTCTGAACGCATGTGCTGATTTTGTGACCCAAGGCGGACAAGTCGTACAGTGACTCAGTTGATGGCCTGCATCCGTCGGAAGAATTCAACACCACATTCTATATCGAACCCATCACTGGATCCGTGATGAAAGCAGCCAAAAAGCTACAGATCAACGCGAATGTTTCACGTAATGAAAAATTCTCTGCTCTGTCCAAAGTCGCCGATGTCGTATTGCCGATCGTATACATTAACGAGTCTGTCACGGTAGACGCGGACACAGCAAGAATGATTCGCAACGCAATCTACGTGCTCCCACTTGCGTTGTATGTGGTTTCCGCCGCGATTCTCGTTTTGGCACTGTTTGGGTTGGCTGTTTTCAGTGTGCTGTTCGTATACCACCGAAGGCAACTTCTCAATTCCGACGTACCGGGACAGAATGCAAACGAAACGACCCCTTTGTTGCAGAGCAACGAGCAGAGCAACACGACTATGCAAATCTGATCCCGCTGGTTAATTCTCGTCCATTATTTGTCACGTGTAGCTCCTTCAATTCGTCTCATCTATTCATTCAATCATCTTGTCACTTGTTTGCTTCTCTTTTTAATTTCGTGACATATGTCTATGCTCACTTTCTTTCGTTTATCACATACATACACACAAACACACGCACATAGATACACACATACATCCTCATATTCGAATTCA